AGGCGCAGAACGGCGAGGGAGGCGGCGGTGTGCGGTAGCTTCAGCGAGGACGTGGCGCATCGGGGCCGGCGGCCCAAGGCAGCGACGGGCGTAGCACGTGCGCGACGGCGGCGCATCGGGAGGAAGATGCGCATGCGCAAGAGGAGGAGCGTGGAAGCCGAAGGAAAAAGGGGATCGGCTCGATCTGAGCCGGTCTTTTACCACTGTTGACTGTTTTTTTTTACTAGAAAAGAAAACCGACTGGTTTTTTGGAGAAAAAAAAGGGGTTGGTTTTGTCCGGCTGGTGACTGTGCAAGTTTAGTCGGTGGGTCAGATAAATCAGGGCAGATCAATTTAATTAGGGCGACAGCTGATCAAGTTGATTATCGTCGATGGCGGCGACGGTGGTTTCCAAATTTGAGGTGGTGAAGTTCGATGGCACCGGGAATTTCGTTCTCTGGCAGATGAGGCTGAAGGATCTGTTGGCTCAACAGGGGATATCCAAGTCTCTTGAGGAGACGATGCCGGAAAAGATGGATGCTGGCAAGTGGGAGGAGATGAAGGCGCAGGCAGCTGCAACAATACGCTTGAGTCTCTCGGATTCTGTCATGTATCAGGTCATGGATGAAAAATCACCGAAGGAAATTTGGGACAAGTTGGCAAGCCTGTATATGTCCAAGTCGCCGACGAGTAAGTTGTATCTCAAACAACAGCTGTATGGTTTGCAGATGCAAGAGGAGTCAGATCTTAGGAAGCACGTGGACGTCTTCAATCAGTTGGTTGTGGATCTAAGTAAGTTAGATGTGAAACTGGATGATGAAGACAAGGCCATAATTCTTCTGTGCTCGCTTCCACCGTCTTATGAACATGTGGTGACTACCCTGACGCACGGCAAGGATACTGTCAAAACTGAGGAGATAATTTCGTCGTTGCTTGCGCGAGACTTGAGAAGATCAAAGAAAAACGAGGCAATGGAGGCTTCTCAGGCTGAGAGTTTGCTGGTCAAGGCAAAGCATGATCATGAAGCGGGGGTGTCGAAGAGCAAGGAGAAGGGGGCACAGTGTATAAGTGTCATGAGTTTGGACATATAAGGAGGAATTGCCCGTTACTGAAGAAGAGGAAAGGTGGCATTGCAAGTTTAGCAGCTCGTGGTGATGATTCAGATAGCAGCAGTCATGAGATTCTCACAGTGTCTTACGAGAAGTCTGGAGAAGCGTAGATGTTGGACTCAGCTAGTTCCTATAACGTGACATCGAAGCGGGAGTGGTTCTCTTCATATAAATCTGGTGATTTTGGTGTTGTTTACTTGGGCGATGACACGAGTTATCGTGTTGTTGGAGTGGGCGATGTCAAGTTCAAGATGTATGATGGAAACGAGGTGCTACTTTCAGATGTGAGACACGTGCCGGGACTAAGGAAGAGTTTGATTTCGCTTGGGAGCCTACATGAGACTGGTTGGTTGTATCAGGTGGATTCTGATAGTAAGACCATGAATATCATGAAGGACGGCAAGACTGTTATGACTGGTGAGAAAACAAGCTCATGTTTGTACAAGTTACAAAGGAGTGCTGTTGCAGGTGGAGTCATGGAAGATGGGTATGCTGGTGTTGCTGTGCACGATCCTGAAGGCGGCGAGCCTGGTGTAGACTCGTCGGGCGGCTCGGCGTGAGCTGCGGCAGAACCAACTCAAGTCCTGGTACACGGAGGTTCGAGCAAGTAACAAATTCAGGTTGGCGTGGCATATTCGCCAAGGTGGAGTTTGTTAGAGTTTGTGTCGAATATGTGTACGTAGTCGGTTACAGTTTAGGACTTGGAGTTGTAATAGGTATTAGGACTAGAGTATGAGTCGGACTCTATTCTAGGTTCTCTCATAAATAGAGGGGCGTGCCTGTTGTATAGCATAGCGAGAGGGAGCGACTGCCGGCGGCGACCGGCCGTGAGTCGTTGTAACTCTGATACGCTGTATATGCTGGATCGGGGAGGAGCGCCCGTAATCAGTGCCCCGGAGATGTAGGCTACGGCTGAATTCCGTTACCAAATATCATGTCTCGGTGTCGTCATTGTTTCGGATCTCCTATGGTGTTTTCTTTCACGTTTAGCTACTGATGTTGATTTTGGGGCTGGTTTTCTAACAGAGAAGACTGCGACGACAATGACAGGGATGCAGAGAGAGAAGAAGTACACGGTTTGGATGGTTTTTAGACTAACCCAACCCAATAAATATAGACCCGGATGTGCGGTTTGGTCTGGGTTGGTTTCACGGTTTGAACGGGTTGGACTCAACCCGTGAACAGCCCTACACGAGACATTGGACACAGCGAACAGGGGCTGCTGGAGACGAAATCATGGAGATGGACATATGTGGCTAGCTCTAGCAGGTTGCTGCCTAGGGCACGAGACAGCGTAGTGCAGTGCAGAGGGCAGCCCTACAACGCAAACCTTCATACGTAATGGGTGGCAACACATATCTGTGTCGGAAAAAAAATACCTTCAGTGATTATTGATCACGGGAGAGAAAACCTCATCCGTGGATGACATTGACATGTAATCTATGACGAAGCATTGTCGTAACCGTTATAGTTCATCCATGATGTATTATAATTACGACCCGACATAGATGATATGATATCAGTGACGGTGGTAGCAATGGGATACTCGATTTTCCGTCAGGTGAAGATAACTATTGATTTGTCCCAAACCACATGATCTAGTTTTCGATCAACATGATCTGGACCCTGCTATCGCAACAACACATCTCCTCGGGCAAATAGCCATACCGAAACCCGATAGACCTCTTTGAGAAGGCTAATCCCTACATGCAAATCGAAGAACACAAGTAAAAATAAGAAATACAACAACTCATTTGCAGATGAATGATTAATCAAGAACTCAAAGTTGGGGTTCCACAAATCAATGAACGGTGAAATTGTAATGGCAAAAATAATCTAAGCAAAATGCAACCCTAATTCGAAAACAACTACTGATTAAATAGGTTATATGGTCAACCTATGACCCCTAGACGTATCCCAAATGGACTCCAACACGATACACGACCTAACGGGTCTTAAGACGGTGACGCAACACCCAAACAGATTCTGGATCTTTGGAAATGTGGCCTCGTTATCTTCCATACATATGTAGAGCGTCGAAAATGGAGTCCGAATGTGGTTTGGGTGGCCATTTGAGTGCGGGCTGCTCCTGGAAGATGAGATGCGCTCGAACTTGGTATGAACTGGACATCCATCTCCTAGCCTCATGCTTATCTCAAGGAGTGATGTCATCATATCTTAAACATGATACTTTGCGACCTGTTAGAGATGAGTCATCCCAAACGAGTCGCATCGTCATCAAGAGCGGGAGGTCAGATTGGCAACGACAGGCCATAGACATGCAGAGAAGTGACGGTCCAATCGGTGACAACTGGCCGTCAGATCGGAGGTTCAATGTTGGTCAAACCGATGACATCCGGGCGATCAGTCCGGATTGTATACTCATGTCAGACAGAGCTTCATCAAGGTCAAGTTTCTTTCATTTCTATAAAAAGATATGTGTTGTGGTGTTTCCACCATTCATCCCCTATAATAAGTTTGATTCTCGTATTCAATCCTACAAGTAGATTGTAGGGGCAAAATGGTCATTTCATTTAATTTGTTCATGCTGTCAATCGGACGTGTCACGTTACATGCGCAAAATGGCAAAATATTAGGAAAGCTTCTCTCTCCCGTGGCAAGATATGGGGAGTACGAGTGGCATTTGGAGAATAGCCACTAACAAGATTGGCAAATATAGTTAATCCTATATATATCTATAGTTCATCTCACTAAGGGCTCCTTTGAATCGAAGGAATGTAAAAATGGTGTAATAGGAAAAACTCGGGACTCTAATAGGAATTTAAGTGCAAAATAGATGATTGTAAAATGGCGTTAATACTGTTTCTCTCTTCTGTCATTAAGCCACATCATCTCAATTATTTTAAGCCCATAGATGACTGATATATGGTCTAAACTATCTCTCTACTTTTCTTTTCTCATGTAGTTATATGATGTCAGTTTTGCGTTTCTTTACTGATTAAGGGTAGTTAATGCTATTTCTCTCTTCTCTTATCAAGCCACCAGGTCACTTCAAAATCTTTTTAGTCCTTAGGTGATTGATCTGTGGTCCAAATTATCTCACTTTTTTTTCTCTTATTAAGTCATATTACCTTATTTTTGCTTTTGAATGATTAATTCATATTTTATCTCTACTCTCATTGAGCCACATAGTCATAGTTTTGATTTTGAATAATTAGCCATATATAATTTAAATTGTTATAAACCTTATCATGTTAATGTAAATTTTTCTTCAATGATTGGTCAAAGATGAAAATTATAAAAAATATTATAAATTTTTATCGTCTAGGTACCATACATATTATTTCTACTATTATCATATATAAAACTCTCACATGAACACGCAGGGCTTCATTTAGTATCTCCTTAATTTCGTTCTTTAGTTTCTACTACTACTAGGATTGATAATACATGTCGTTTTAAAATGATTCATAATCATTATTTTAAAAATAATTTATAATCTAAAATTTTAAACTTTGACCACACCTTTATCTATAATGATAGTTATTTTCATGTGTAGGTGGACCAGCCGGCCAGCCCTAAGGCCATTCCCAACCCAATGATTAGGATAGTGTCCATAGCATTAAATAAGCTGTCAATTAAGATGAAAATGATGTGACAAGTGAATAAATGAGGAAAAAGAAAAAAACCATGTCTTGCATGAGACATGTTTTCTACACAATATCCAAGACATCATGTGAGATCAACAGCATTAAATTTAAATATGGAATAGTGGTGTTTGCATTGAAAAAGTAGTGTCTAGTGCTAGTTTCTTTATGGAAACTATATCTAGTGTCTTGAGTTGGGAATGGCCTAACGAGCCCCCGGCCAACACGTAATTAAGCACCGTAATACTTGCGCCACAACTAACGAAGCGTCGCCGTTGAACCCGCGCGCTTCGTTTTCCCCACAACACCCCCTCCACCCCTCGTCTCCTCCCGAAGCAAAACACCAGCGCCATAAATCACTTCGCTGCTTTCTCGCGTGGCGATTCCCAAGTGCGCGGTGGCGTTAAAATCCCTCGTTTTCCTACGGTAAATACCGCTCCAAATACCCCCCAAAAAACTCCATGGGACTAGCTGCATTTCCTTCTCTTCTAATGACCCCGTTCATGGTTGATTAGTTTGAGATTATCATCAATTCTCTGTTTGTCGGTGGAGCACCTGCAGCACCTCCGACGAATCCGCCGCTGCTTCGCCGTCGCGTGTGCTGGAGCGGCTCGCCGCCAGCTCCATGCCTCAGGACGATGACTGGTTCTGGGGGCGCCCGACTCCCGTCGTCGTCGGCGACGGCGAGACGACGTCGAAGCCAAAGCCGCCGGTGGCGGGAAAGACGAAGAAGGTGGAGGAGCAGCACCCACGGCGACCGGGGGAGCCGGACTGCAGCTACTACGTCAAGTTCGGGAGCTGCAAGTTCGGCATCAGCTGCGTGTACAACCACCCGGATCCGAGGCCGCAGCATGGCGCCGACGACAAGAAGCCGGCCGAGCAGTTCCCGCGGCGGCCCGGCGAGCCCGACTGCAGCTACTACGTCAAGTTCGGGAGCTGCAAGTTTGGGATGAATTGCAGGTTCAACCACCCTCCCCGCATGCCAGTGCCACCACAACAAGAGGTAATAATGTCAAACACATGCGTATTATATTGGTAAAAACCTTTGGAAGAAAAATACTTGTTTCTTTCCGTCGTACAAAATTATTCTGAAGCAAAATCAAGATTACTTCTCTCCTAAAAAAATCAAGATTATTTTCTGGCGTCAGTGAGCAGCCAAGACCCTAGTATTTTTTTCTCAGCAACAAACAAACGTAGTTACAGTGAACGTTTTCCCCCCTAATAACTATGTGGAATATGCTATAGCTAGCTAGGTAGACTCTTGTTTTATTTCGTTATCTCTAGAAGTCGACCAGGCAGTTAGCTTTGGACTAGTTGGGCTTGGGCCATGACGAGCAATGGACTAGTAAAGCTTATGGTCCAGGAAGAGAGGAGAAGAAAAAACTAGAAAGGGGAAGAAGAGAAGATATGAGAGTGGTTTGAACTTGAATCACAAATAGTGACCCCAAAAGAATTTTTTGTATAAAATCCTAATTTTCAAGATTTTACACATAACCCATTCATTAATTAATTACTTCCGCAAATCAATTTATGCATGCATCACATTAATACATTGTTTGTTAGGAGTATTCTTTATCTCACAGAAAGTGTTTTTTAGTATTTCTCTGGGAATGCATGCCACTGCCACCATATTGAAGGCAAAAGTAAAGTTGAGCAAGTAAAGCTGAACGTTCTTGGGCTTCCACTTCGTCCTGTAAGTCTTTCTAATTCTTTTCTTGTTGGGTTTATTTCTTCTGCACGCAATTATGTTAGCTAGGCCAATCATTTGTAACAAAGCTTTCTTTTTGCCTTTTCCATTGATCACAATATATTAGGGCATTGCATACTACTGTTTAATTCAAAAATTACTATTTTGTTGGTGAAAACATGATACATGCATGTAATCCTTCAGGGGACAGGGTTGTGCTCATACTACATGAACCGGGGAATCTGCAAATTTGGCACTAACTGCAAGTTTGACCACCCAGATCCAGGCTCAGATCATGAGAAGTGGGTCGTTTCAAGTAATGCCAATCAAGTTTCCTCTCAGGTGAACATTTACTCGGTGCTTGACCATGGAGAATCGAATGAGCATACTTTTACCTCCGAAGAAGTCCATCAGGTATTATCCAGTTGAAATATTGATGGCTGTCTTTGTAGAAAAATATAGTCACACTTATAGTACCACTTAGTTTCATTATATCTAACATTGAACATATTAGTTCCATTATATCTAACATTGAACATATTTTGGTAGTTTCTTTGTTGTGTGTTAAAAATATTACTTTTTCTTACCTATAAATTAGGTAAAAATTAAATAAGTTTGACCTAAAAAAATGTCAAAATGACTTATAATATGGATCTAAGGTAATACTCGCTAATTGTTCGGATTTGATGCCAATATTTTCCAATTCTACACATTTGATATAACACTAACATACTAAAACATTGCTGTTGCCAATACTTGCCTGTGTTGATTTGATAGGGCACCACACCAAAATTGCCATATTTTTTCAGCTTGTTGTCAATCCATGCAAATTGAGCAGTCTTGAAGTTTGATATGAGAATTGTCTTGGATTAATTGAGAAATGTTGAGTGGTAAACATTAGTCAATGCCTAGCAAACATTTGAAGTGTGTAACAAGCGTAAACATGAATCGGATTGTGTATAAGGTAGACAATAATGATAATGTGTGCGGCAAGAGATATTTTCCCTTAAACAAATATTGTTATAGTATCTTTGCTATGCTTACTTTTGCATTAATCTGCTGCAGCCAGGGATTCCAAGTTTTCACCAACGAATCAGTTACACAAGGGACCAACTTCTCCAACTTTGTCAGGTATAAGTTCTGGGCGACTAATATGTTTCACTCATTTTCTCTCTTAAAATTTAATTGCTGTATTGTGCAAATTATCGTAAGTAAGACGGATAACATTCTTCAAGCCATTACAAAGTATCATAATTAGTTGTTGTGAAAATTCCATCATATTTTTTTTATATTTATCAATAGATGACTGTTATCCCCTATGTATTGCTGTTTTTCGCTGCAGAAATGTTCAAGTTCTTTACGCAAACTTGTATGGCCTTCTCACATATTATTAATGTATGAATTATGTCTATGCAGAATGTCGAAGTGCCCAAGGACATCTTAAAATTTTGTCAAGATATTAATGTTGAACTGAATGGTGAAGATAAAATTTCGGGATTTGGAGCAGAGAAAGATCATGTGAGCATCCTTCCCTTCTCATATGTCATCATGGCAGAAATCGTTTGTGCTGCTCTGATTAATGTTCCTCAAAGATGCAAAGTCTTGTATTTCATAGTAAGTACAATGTTGCGTTTTTTTGGGTATATCTGTTAGGTACAAACTCCATCATATAAACGGTTTGACGCGACAGACAGCCGTGACTGGCATTCATGGTCTGCACAAACTAATTGGGAACAGAAATTTTGGGACAACTTCTCTGAAGCAAAAGAACCCTATTCTTTAGGTTGGAAGCAAGAGAAATTTAACAAGCCTGACCAATCAAGCTTCCACTTTGATTCTAAAGATCAGGTATCTTAAAAATACAAGTGTGTTAGTAAATTGTTATCAGATCTGAATTGTACAATATGGTCTTCTCACCTTGTCTCTCAATTAGTGGTTAAAATTTATAAAGTGTACACCCTGCAAAAGCACTTTAATTAAGGCTGAAGTCCCTTTGTCAATCCAGAGAGGCATTATCTCTGGCAAAGATGAAGTTCTGAAAACATTGAAAAGGTATTATTTCATTTAGGAATTCTGTTCTTGTTTCATTAGTAAAGCATTTTCCCATCAATTGCATATTCAAAAAGTGTATTTTGTTTATCTGTTTTTGTTTGCATATTTTTATTTGTTGTTTTTGTTAAACAGTATACTAAACACATTTTCACCAAAGATGTTCGATCTTCAGAAGGGCCAGCTAATAGAAACAAGAATCTCTAGCGCTGATATTTTGAAGGTTTGGTTTAATAAAAAGCAAAGTTATTTTTATTCAGGCAGCCTTCTTCTATGTTTTGGACTGATGTTGAGTTGTTTCTACTATGCTTTTACTCAGGATGTTATTAATCTTATATTTGAAAAGGTTGTTGCTGAGCCAGCCTTCTGTTCGACGTATGCGCAACTTTGCACATATCTAAATCAAAACCTCACACCATTCCCTCCTGAAGACTGTGATTGTGAAGAAATTACGTTCAAACAAGCACTGTCGAACAAATGTCAAGAAATATTCGAAAGTGCTCACACCGTATGTTCTGAGATTGGCAAATTGATTGGACAAGACCGAGAGATGGAGCAACGGGATAAAGAAAGGGTAGTGAAACTTGAAACACTGGGAAATATTAATTTCATTCGAGCCCTGCTCAAGAAAAAGTTGATCACAAATAAGATAATAGATCACATTGTTCAGGTATTCATATGCCGCCCTCCATTGCTAGAACGTTGCCTGTTAATGATCCTTTTTTAGGTACTGAAAGTTTTATTGAACTCAGCCAAACAATTTGAGGACACTCCGGGCCTCTGCACCACTACACTGCACACAGCGAACACACCCTCCAACGCAAAGAAAAACAGAACAAACCCAAATATCTGTTAATGATCTGGCAATTTATGCAGTTAATTAATACTATTCTTAGCTGCTTTTAAGATGATATGGTGACCATGAAGTACATAATCTTTCAGAAAAATATTTTAATCCTATTTATATATCCTTTAGAGCTATTTACCTAAAAAATGTCCACAGGCCACAGATATATAATCCATTTGTAACGTCCAGCTATCAAAATTAAGCATATTAATTAAAGATGTTATGAAAAGATTTGCCATATATTATTTCAATATGGTTGATCAGATTTCGTGGTACTTGGTGCCTTTTAAGTTATAAACCAGCAACATCGAATACATGAAAACCATGATTTGTGCAGAGTTTTACCTTGACAAGCACTATCATAATCTCATAAAGTTTTCCTCGCAAAAAAAATAATCTCATAAAGTTATTTGATTCCATCAACTTGTTGTAATATATATGTCTTTCTTACATGTCAAATAGTTAGTTTTTAAGTACTACAGTTATCTTTTTTATCAAACTTATGTATGATATCTTCTTGGAATTATATATGTATATATATTTTTTCAACTTCAGTATTTATGAAATAATGTTTTTTGAAATTCAATGTCATGTTTGTGTTTGGTGAATTGATTTAATATATTGCACTCCGATCAGCTATTAGATGGGACTAGGAATAGCATTTTTTTTCATTTACACAGCTTGAAGTATATATATATTTACTCAACCATGTTATCCTTTCAATTGTTTTGCAGGCAGTGATGGATTGTTGTAAGTTTCGCTTTGAACCACTTGGAAAAGTTGATTTGCTAAATATAATATTTGAAGGCATGCTGGATTCAGATTCAGCAGGTGATGAATCTAATATTTGCGTCAATGCTATGATTGGTGGCAATAAATCTTCCATAGCTTCAAATGATGTCGAGATGACTCGTAAGAATGTCAATAGGCAAAATGAAGAGGCAATATTACAAAAATCTTATGATGAAGTCCCAAATAACAAAATGGATCCTCAGAAAAATTATGCAGATGGAGCAATCAGTTATCTCATTGAGAAAGAGAAGCCAACTAACTTAGAATCATCTGTGAGGATCTGTCGAGGAGGATGCAGTATTTCAGAGATAATGGAGTTAGTTGTTGATGCAGGAGCTGTGGAAGGCAGTGATGAGCATTTCATGGCTACCTTATTATTTATTAAACCTGAATATAGGGAAATATTTCTTACCCTTGATACACGTGAAGGAAGACTTGGGTGGCTGAAAAGGATGTACAAGGTGAAGGAATAAGTGTTGGACCTTAGTTCATGGATTCTTGCCTATTTTCTACTCTTATGGTGTGCCTACTCATGAACTATTTACATGTGATTTATTGTGTAATGCTACCTAAATTTATTAACATCCTACATTTCCATTTGAGTTTGCTTTAAGTGAGATGAATTCCTATGTAATTGGTAGTATGTACAGTGTGGCCTATCGAGTTGTTTCGCTAGAGAATGCAATTATTAAATGGTGTTGCTTGTTCAGATGTGTTGCGGTGACAGATTAATTTTACTGTACTTAGGAATCTAGAGGTGCCAACTTTTATTATAGATAGAATCTATTATATACCACTGAGCTTGTTTGAGTTCAATAATTTACTATTGACATTGTCACTTTATATAATATATCGGCGACTTTATCAATTGTTATACGATACACCATTGGGCTAGAACTTCTTTTTAAAAATACCCAAAATACCCTTATGCACATACAAGTTTAAATATTGATTCATCTCATCAGAAGTTTCAAAACAATATGAAAACTTTTATGTGGACTCCTTACAAAAGAAGGCCTAGTCCAATGGCGTATTATAGAACAATTGATAAAGTCGTCGGTATAATTATAGAAAAAGAAAATGCTGATAGGAAATCATTGAACTCGAGAAAAAGAAAATGCTGATAGGAAATCATTGAACTCGAACAAACTTAGTGGTATAGAATAGATTATCGCTTTATTATACTAACTTGGTATCTCTGTATGTGAGGTAGTCGACTGACTAAAATGTACATATAGGAAAAAACGGTGCAGCCAGATGAGACTTAAACTGCTCTGATCCTGACAATCATGCATTGATAATTCTCCCAAGTTAGGGTGTGTTTAGTTCACGCCAAAATTGGAAGTTTGGTTGAAATTGGAACGATGTGATAAAAAAGTTGAAAGTTTATGTGTGTTGAAAAGTTTTTGATGTGATGGAAAAGTTGGAAGTTTGATGGAAAAGTTGGAAGTTTGATGAAGAAGTTTGGAAATAAACTCGGCCTAGAAGTACTCACTACCAGACCAGGCTCTATCCTATGAGTGAAAAACCAACTGGAAAATATGAATTCTCATCAGAAATTATTTTTCTGACAGTGCCCCATCTAGCTCACTGCATGGACACGATGAAAAATAGATAGTGAAGTGTGACAAATAAACACCAATGAACAAAACTAAAGAAGCAAAGCAATTGTACCATGCTCGGGTGATATACGAAAGGATAAGCCAAATCGATGAAACAAGAATGATAATTGACGATATAATGGGTTCTAGAAAGCTCAGCTTTGCATCTCAAATAAAAAGGGGAAAACATCAAAATTTGTTCAAATTGAAATATAAACAGTAAACTTGTTTGAATTTTCCAAAAAAAAAAAACTGCACACGAGAAAAATCTCAGAAATTCACCAAATGGAGTTCATGGCTACACTAAAGCTCTAGTAAAATTTGCACATAGTTTAGAGCAATGTAGCTATTCTGAAAAATTCCCCAAACTCTCAGCACTCCTCCTCTTCATCTCTTCCCCTTGTGAGCATTTGATCGAGTAGTTGGCGTGCGAGACCGAGGTCGTCATTTCCAAGCCGACCAAGCCACTTCCGCCTGGCAAGAGCCAAGTAAAGGCCGACGCCGCTCTGCTCAAAGAACCGCCGCAACCGCTGCTGGCCCGCCCAAACCCGGAGCCACCGTTCCTCGCCGCCAATCTCTCTCTCTCTCTCTCTCTCTCTCTCTGCGCGTCGACGCCCACAAGCCTCCGTGTCACGACAACCACCGCTCGACACCGATCTCCTCGCTCGCTCGCCAGCGTCATCCCACTCCTCACTTGTCTTTCCCAACCGAAGGCCAAAGCAAGAAGCCCACTGGATTGACGGGATTGGCCGCGCCATCACTGCTGCCCGAGCCGGTCGAACAGAGCCGCCGCCGCCACCTACACCATCGAGCCGTCGCCTCGGTGAGCCCTCTTCCTTTTCCTTGTGCCGGCAAGACCCCGGGAGCCCCTTGAACCCATTTCATCAGCTAATTCTAGGTCCTCCTCGCCGTAGCATCGCCACCACCATCGCCGTCGTCCGCCGCCTCGGACCGCCTCCACTCCAACCGAGCGCGGGGTAAGGTTTCTAGTAGTCCCTAGGCCCTCCCCTATCGTTTATTTGAGCCGCCGTCGACTGTAGCACGCCGGCCGCCGCCACCCCGGCCATGGTGCTCTGGACAGTATGCTTTGGCCTCTTTTGTAAAAGAAATTAATAAATCCAAAGTGATGTGTTCCGTTAATTATTTATGCACTATAAAATAAAATACTGAAAATTTGGAAAATCATAGAAAATTTCATTTTAGCTCCGTTCAAGGTGAACCAAATTTTGTTAGATCTATCTATTATTATATACTAAAAGTCCATTAAACTTCCTACAAACGCTCTCAAGCCGCTATGGGGCACTCCTACAAACACTCCTTGACCGCCACGTGGCACTATCTAATCTCACCGTCGATTTTCACTTAAATTGGTGGCCCCTGTATTTTTGATCATTAGATTAGATCTGTTATCTTCTATTATATACTAAAAGTCCATTAAACTTTTTACAAAAGCTCTCAAGCCGTCATGGGGCACTCCTACAAACACTCCTAGACCGCCACGTGGCACTATCTAATCTCACCGTCGATTTTCACTTAAATTGGTGGCCCCTATATTTTTGACCATTAGATTAGATCTGTTATTAAACCGTTAGATTAGATTAATCTTAAAGCAAATCGGACACTACAACTATGGTCCCACTTACCTCTCCTCCTCCCCTAGGTACGTATACATATGGTGTACGTATGAGATTAGATTAGATTAGATCTGTTATTAAAAAAATAATACCTTCCTCCCACACAAAAAATATTTAACTGTCTGTACTACGTACGATTCAAAGGAAAAAAAAATAAAGCTGGCCTACTGTGCCGCAAGAAAAAAAAACCATATACATGTACTTATACAATATACAGAAGAAAATAAAGTTAAAGAAACATATGTACATAATACCATCATTGGAAAGAAAATCAACAGGATTTCCTATATTTTTTTAAAAATAAAATATATCTATCTATCTATCTATTATATACTAAAAGTTCATTAAATTTTCTACAAATGTTCCCAAGCCCCCACGTGATACTCTAATAAATTAGAGAAAATCCTAGAAATTCTAAGAATAAGCAAACAAAATACTATGGGGTCCCACCTCTCCTCTTCTCCCGGGCATGTGTAGGTACATTAAACTTCCTACAAATGCCCTCAAGCCGCCACGTGACGCTCTAATAAATTAGAGAAAATCATAGAAATTCTAAGAATAAACAAACCAAATACTATGGGGTCACACCTCTCCTCTTCTCCGCGCATGTGTAGGTATATGTACGTACATTCCATCCCTTCTTTTTTTTTCTTCCTTTTCCATTTATATAATGGATATATATTTTTTAAATAATCATAATTTTACTAACAAAGAATCTACCATCAAACAACTCACATGTAACTAAATTAACTCTACAGTTATTGAAAATAAAATTTACACCATTATATGTTACCCATTAAATTAATAATGTACTCCCTCCGGTTCTATAATAATCGACCTTTTGGACAAGGTTGAGGTCAAACTTTTATAACTTTGATTATCAATAACTTTAAAAATATTTAGTTTAAAGGAACTAGAACAACATATATAGATTTGTCTTTCAAAGCACTATAATAAAAGTAAACATATATTTATTTATCGTATATATTATAATAGAAACATATATTTATTTATCGTATATATTATAATAGAAAAATAAGGTCAAAGATATATTTTGTATACCGTGTTATTATCCAAAACTTCAATTAGAATGAAACCGGAGGGAGTAAGATAATTTCCACTTAATTAAACCGTCGTACTCATTACTTTGTACTATTATTTTCAAATAATACACTATTTTAAAATAAAGTTTACAAAATTATATTGTGTACCTATCAAATAAATAATTTAAGATCTATATTAACTAATTTATACATGCACTTAAACCGATGAACCCATTATTTAAATCATTGGATCTATTTTTTATTACATTGGACTATCATTCTGAAATAATGTATTGTTTCAAAATAAAGTCTACGACATTATATTGTGTGCCCATTAAATTAACAATTTAAAATCTATATCAACTAATTTACACTTACACTAAAACCAGTGGACCCATTATTTAAATCATCGGATCTATTATTTGCTAATAAATAAAGCATCCAAAGTTCCCTTTTTGGCCCGCTGCACAATGCACGTATGCACATTTGCCTTTTGCACGCGTGACAAAGCGTCGTGTTTGAGGCATAAGGTGATCACGACCGCCGCAGCGCTACCGCTTTGCTACATGTCAAATCATATATGGAGATGATAAATTTTGCTAATAACATGAAAAGAAAATTAGAGATGTGATGCAGCGAGAGAAGAATTAAGCACTGTGGGTTGTGTTTTTGGAACACTTAGCTCCGTTTAAGCTGAACCGAGAGTTGATTACAGAATAATTATAATGTATTGTGTTATGTTGTATTTGGATTTTGTACTATTTGTTCGTACAGTTGAAAGAAATCATTATATTATAAATGTGAGCACAATATTAACGAATATCAGTTGAATTCTTCTAAGACAAGGGAGTTTAAGACCCTCTTTTTTTTCCCGATTCCATAGTTTGGATTTTCATTTGCATGCTTTCCAAGTTTCTAAATGGTGTCTTTTTTAAACAACATTTTAACTTTTAGAAGTCAATTCATTCGTTTATACCCTCAAATAGCTATCACATAAATCAGATAATTCATCAATTTCAGTTGTCCTAAACCCTAAGTAGTACATTTTTTCATGCGAGTCATGGTGAACCGTAAATGGATCAACGGATACTCAAAGTCATAAGATGAATATGTAAGAGCTACTATGAACAAATGTAACTAGGTGTCAAAATTAATTGCTATTAATTAGACATCTAATGGCTTCTCTCTACATGTATATAAACATCGACGAAGCTGGAACAAATATTACCATATACCCCACACATATATATTACATGGTTAATATTCTAATTACATGTGTTAAGTCTTATAAAATTTCTTAAAATGCTCTCGAGCTGTCATGTGGTGC